CMRRAAARAGATYAGGAACAATTCTGGCGAAGTCAGGGACACTTTTTCTTAGACATTGTCTCGAGCTTTAATACGCGGTCGTCACAGCATCCATCCGCGCATGCAAGGAAAGACTTGGAACTAGGCTGTATCAATCAATATTTGAGCAATAAATATATGCACTATGTTGGTTATCAAAACGGTGAAACGCCAACATGATGAAAGCGAAAAAAGGGGCTTGAAAATTCACTTGACMTCATAGTGCTGTTTTCATTCTAGATCTTTTTTGCATATTCTTGACTTTCATTGATAAGGTGATATTCTTAAAAAGCTATTTAGAGGAAAAAATAGAAATCTTTTATTTGTGTCCTCGAAAGAACATTTTAATTAAACGATCATTACGAAATTTCGAGCCAAAATAATGATTTTTTACAGAAATACGAGMGATCGAAAATTGGAAAGAATAGTATGGGATTATCACGGCTCAATGCGTTTTCGACTGGTCAAGAAATACCTACAAAAAGCTTTGTTTCAAGATTTAAATGAATTGAAATTTGGTCCAAGGACCAAACAAGCATATAACTCCCAACATTTATACAAAATTTGAATCCAAACTGTGATTTTGTAGCAAAAATATAAGCGTTTGAATACGGTCGTATTTTACAAAGAAAGTATGGGACCGACATGACTGTGTCCTCGTCAGGGGCATAAAGATGGCGGACCGTAACTCCGAKTATCGAATTGAGCTCAAAACTAATGATTTTGCTTTACCTTTACAACAATGTCATTGTAAACATTTAATTTGAACCTGATRCTATATTTGTTCAAAGATTAATAGGCTTTTCGAGTATTTTTGGCGTGTATCAAGTCACATGACAGTATTGCGTGACACATTTTTTCAACGAATAAACAGCAAAAAAAAGTTTAAACATTCAGAGAGAACCTTCTATCATGCTCTTCAAGGTATTTTAGTGCTGCAATGTTGTGTGTCTGTGATTTTAGATTTTTTTTCGACTGATGACGTCATGTGAAAGTAAAGAATTTAACTAAAAAGTCAGATTTGCAGTCAAAGTTTTATTTACGTGTTTTTGAAACGAATAACTAGAAGACAGAGAAAGATTTCAAATTTTCATGAGAAACTTCTTTTCTGAGAAACTTCTTTTCTGAAGTTTCTATAGAACAACATTTACAAAAGGGATTTCCATAGAAAATACTAGAATTTCTTGCATTTCGTGATGTCATAAGATGAAAACGCTCTATTGTTTGA